TGTTACTATTTGTTTTAACATAGATTCGCATGAAGAAGAAATGAAAATCTCACTAATACCATTTAATAAATAAAACTGATAACTTTTCGTCACCATTCAAGGGACCAACGCTAGTTATCTAAAACCTTTGTTTAAATGTCATCTGTCAAAAGTCTAAAGTAAAACTTTTGACATTTCGCGCTCTCTCTGACTCTCAGTCAAACTAAAAAAACTTTTGGAACTTCGATCGAAATAAAGAATTAAAGTGTTAGCTATTTAAAATTATAGCTAATGTGAGGATGGCGGCTTATTTTGTTCGCTGGTAAGTGTTTTTGTTGTCCTCATTAATAAATATCGGACCTATTTACTTAAAATACTGCGATTAAGTAATGTTTACTAAATATGCCAATGGTTTTTGTTTTAGTAATATAAACGAGTACCGCAGCGCGACGCGGCGCTCGCGGCGGCTAACTGCGGTGCAGGCCCGGCGGCCCATGCAGCTGCCACCAATACCCCTGCCGTGGGATTGGCACCCTCGCAAGGCATCAGCGCCTTTAAAAATACCGGTGCACTCCTGGTGGAGGCACCCAAATTTGATTTACGGTCGGCGCGGTTGTGATTAAAGGTATTCATTTATATATATGAACTGTAACATATGTTGTTTAATTTGCCAAATAGATAGGGACTAGGGACGTATTTACTTAAAATACTGCGATTAAGTAATGTTTATGAAATATGCCAATGGTTTTTGTTTTAGTAAAATAAACGAGTCCGCAGAGCGACGCGGCGCTCGCGGCGACTAACTGCGGTGTAGGCTCGGCAGCCCATGCAGCTGCCACCAATACCCCTGCAGTGGGATTGGCCCCCTGGCAAGGCGCCAGCGCCTTTAAAAATACCGGTGCACTCCTGGTGGAGGCACCCAAATTTGATTTACGGTCGGCGCGGTTGTGATTAAAGGTATTCATTTATATATACTATGAACTGTAACATATGTTGTTTAATTTACCAAATAGGTACTTATTATATGTATACACGAACCTTAAATAAAATAATAACCTTAAATATACTTACTTACTAAACCTTAAATATAATAAATAAACTATATAATATAGGTATCTGCGGAAAAAGTCATGATTGGTTCAAGTCATATTTAAGGTGCCTTGGGGTAATATATAAACATATTTTTTGTGAATACAATGACGATTTGGCTATCAAGGGGTAAGTTCGGACAACAATTTAAAACTAGTCCTATTGCTAGGAGCACAAGGTGTATAAAAAGAATGTCTCCGATCTTTCCTCTTCTTTAACATGACATCAAAAAAATTTACCTAATACTACAGACATAGATGTACCAAGTCATTCTTTTTTTTTGTGTGTAATTTGTCCGATCTTACCCCAAATGGCAAATTTAAAAGACATTAGGATTCTCAAAGTTTGGTTTTACCCACAATTATAGTACCAAAAAGGAAAAGTAAGCGAATATTTAAAAGCGTTAAATAAAACTGAAATACTGTGCGGTTGGTAGAGAAATGAAGGGAATCGGAATATTCAAATATTGAAACGAATTAGTAGTAGTATAAAATATTATATTCTAATAATATGAAATATAAAAATCACTAATAAGGAATGAACAAAATTATAATACTGTATGTAATTAAAATTGAAAAAAAAAGGAATACAAACAAAACAATTATACTTATCAAAGAATTGACAGTTCTCGTAGACATTTCAGATTAATTGAGTTAAACATAAATCCTTATTAAACTGAAACATCTATGATAACGATCTAGAAAACAAAAATCAAAACAATAACAAAAATCTCTATCAAAATACACATTTTTGGTTTTAGGAACATTTTACCGCCATAAAATGTAGCAATCACAAACACAGAAATAATACTTCTTCAATTTGAAAGAACATAACATATTAAGCATAATAAGCAATTATATCAAAGAATTAACCGTTGTCTTGGAAATTTCAGTTTAATTAAACTGTCAAATACCAAGCGGTCACCGGTGACCGCAACCTATTGTTCTATAATTGTGTCTGCAAAACCGGTACTCGACGAGTTAAGATAACATTCTTGATTAAACTGAAATATCTATGAGAATGATCTAGAAAAATAAAATCATAACATAATTTATCAATAACATAAACAAATTGCACTTTTTAGGAATATTGTACCATGTTAAAGTATAAAAAATCACAATCACAAAATAAACATTAACATTATTCAATTTAAAAGAAATTTTCATCATCGTCATTCATAAGGGTGTACTCAGCAGGATCTTCATTTATCTGTAGTAGTTCTATCACCTTAACTATATTAATAACAGGTACGTAGTCTTGATCTTTACGCTTAGGAATAACAAATTTTATATTGTTCTTCTTGCCAACATTTCTATAAAATGTAATCTTGTATAGATTTGGGTTTGAATTCATATTTATACTTTCAATGATACCGACGTAATATGTCCAAGTTCGTTTAAAATATCTTACAAGAACTGTATCCCCAATACTGTATTTTTTCAGAACTTCAATGTAATTTTTAATCTGATCATCATCATCTTTATCAATATTGATGTTAACGTTTCCACTTAAATACTTTTGATCTATTGTCGTTATTTTTATAGGGCAATTAACTTTCTTTGTTTTTTTCTTTGGTATATTAGATATGCTTGTACAATGTGCTAGTTTTCGCTTTTGGTTTGTAAACAAATCTAAATCTTTATCAATTGGCTTTAGTTGTAAACTTCTGGGTAAAATTTTATAGAAAGCTTGGTTTTGTGGCGTGATGTTTATAGAAGATAAGATAGTCACTTTATTATTATCATTTGCCTTAGCTTTTGTCGTTTTCGTATACATTTCAGGAATTATCTCACATCTCTCTTCGCAGGTATCATTGGCTTGGCTTGCTTTTTTCTCTTGATTATTATCCATTTCCCGTATTTCTTTAACTATTTGTTCAATTTGTTGTTCCCTAGATGCTAATTCGAAGTCAGTCTTATTTTCCTCGTACATATTAAAATCAGTCAAATTATCACAGTCAGTTAAAATGTCACTGAAATAATCTAATAGGTCAGAATCACTATGTACGCTCATCTGAACACCTTTAATTGTCGTTACACTGCTATTAGATCTTTTACGCTTTTTCAAAGCTCTCTTTGTCTTTTGGTCTGATTTACTTTTCTTCTTGGGCTTATCATACTTATCCACTTTCAAATTATTTTCTTTATTAGCTCTAGTCTTTTTTCCTACTCCTTTGCCTTTTTTAGAAATACACACGTCAGTATTGTTCTTATTAGTCAAAATCGACACAGTCATTAAAGTTCCTTCTGTTCCTATGTGTTTATCTTGAATTCCAGATGAACCTGGTGTAGGATTAAATGCATCATTTTTGGATTGAAGTTTTTGTTTCCGTTTTGTGGTCGTCCGTATTTCTTTTCCTTTGGTAATTCTGCCTCATGCTGCTTTTCTAGAAAAGATTTTGTGATCACTTCTGCACCTTTTGCGACTCGTTTTAATTTAACAGCTATATTGTTCTTAGTGTTGTAAGGGTGTTGTGACACTTTTTCTAGAAGCATTTGTTCGAAACTGGCGAGTGGCTGTAGACTGTTTCCATGTTCTAATGAAGAGCCGTTATTATACATGATCTTAATTATTTCATTTACACATATCTGTGTAAGAGTTTTCGGTTGTATCAAACTCACCGGAGCCATGTGTTTTTGCCATCTTGCATAAGCTGCTGGATCATATTTGTTCTTCGGTATAATCGCAGGATTAAAAGGGTAAATGCCACCTTTTTTAAAGCCATTTTGTATTACATGTGGTTTGGTTTCCTGCCACGCTTCAGCAAACATTTGAGCAAAACTTTGCTTTCTCAATTTTACTCCCACGTTTTGCCTTTGCCATTTCACGAGGTTTTTATCCCATATTGTTTTAAAAGATTTGAACACAGCCAAATCTAGTGGTTGCAATAGATGTGATGTGTGTGCAGGAAGCTTCAATATAGTGATGTTGTTCGCTACTGCTAAAGCTACCACTTTGGCATCGACATGACTGACATGTCCATCATACAACAATAATACGGGCCTGTCTTCACCCAAATTAGGTATAAATACTTTTAATATGTAATCATAAAAAATATTCGTTTCCATCCAGCCTCGTTTGCTAGCTGTATACGCAAGATTGAAATCGTATTTTTCAGGATTCTGTAACATCCACTGTTCATACATGTGTTTGCCCTTAAAAATGATCAGGGGGTCCAATTTCTGTCCAGCTGCATTTACAGTAGTCAAAACTGTAATATTTTCTTTAGCGCTTCCGCATGTTGTTCGTGTACAAGGCTCCCCTATCGCACCTACAACTTTAGTTTTTGTAGGATCGAGACAAACTGAAGTTTCATCGAGGTTCCAAATTTTCTTGGGATCCGAAATATTTAACTCCTGGAGCGTCTTTTCGAGAAGAGTAAAATATTCGTGGATAATAAACGGATCTGTCATTTTTTTTCTGAGGTATTCTACAGGCTGCGGCTTTTTTATTGACAAATTGTGGCGTTGACGAAAAGAAATAAACCAGGCCGGTCCCGGTCTGCCATCATTGAAGGGGGTTTTTATTTGAATTGTCTATAAAAATTTGCTGCAACTAAATAATTTTTGTAAAATTAATTTGGTAATATAATTTGCAGCTATATTTTTTTGATAAATTTTACGTCATTCAATAAAAATATATAAAAAATAGAAAAAAATTGTAACCAGCTCTCAGTCAGCTGCAACGCTTTTTTTAAGCATGTTAAAATCATCAAATGAGTCCTCCCACCACGGGCAGGGCGGGAGGGGAGGGACTGTCAGACTTATACCGATTAAAATCCACGGTATCCTTCATTAGCCCTTTACGTTTCAGGGTCACGGTAGCTGCAACGCTTAACACCTGACAACCCACCGTTGCGGCTGACTGAGATTAGGCAACAATTTGTTTCTATTCTTAAAAATCTTTAAAATGACGTTAATTTTATTAAAAATGATATGCATATTATATTACCAAATGATTTAGGTATAAGGTATAAAAAATAAATACAGGTAGTTGCGGCAAGTTTTTATAGGCAACTTATTGCTAATCCTTTGAATACTTCCTCAATCCGCAATCTCATTTAAAATCAATGTAATCAAGAAAACAGACCTACATATCGATTTTTTAAATACTGGTTAAAATGATTTATGGTGAAGATGTAGATTGGTGTAAATCAATACATAGTATAAAACAAAGTCGCTTTCGCTGTATGTCCGTATGTATGCTTAGATCTTTAAAACTACGGAACGGATTTTGATGCGGTTTTTTTTAATAGATAGAGTGATTCTTAACTCGTCGAGTACCGGTTTTGCAGACACAATTATAGAACAATAGGTTGCGGTCACCGGTGACCGCTTGGTGTTTGACAGTTTAAGGAAGGTTTGTATGTATAATACAGTGATGTGACTTATCTTAGATAAAAGTATCTGAAATACAGATACAAGATACAAAATACGTATTTATATCTTGTATTTGAAATACTTTTTAATTTTTATATTTTGTATCTTATATTTAGATACATTTTCCAGGTATCTTAGTATTTTGAAGATACTTTGTTCACTAAGATACTTTTACTAAAATAAACTTCGCAGTTTTTCTTTCCGAACGCAACTGAACGCAGCGCGTCGTTTATTTCGATACCATATTTTTACGGATCGGAAACTAAATGACAGATGGCGACACTATCTTTTTACAAATGTCATCGGTTAAGTAAGTAAGATCGTCAATGCCAAAATTAAAATTTAAACAAATAATACAAAAAAAAAGATTGTCAATGAGTGTGATCTGTCACTAGTGTCACTGTCACTCCTTCCGTAAGTTTTTCGCTGAGGTTTTTCGTGTGTACGTGGACGTGGTGTATGGTGTTTAAAATAAAATATTGTAATTAATAAATAACAATATCGCCTTTGTGAGATTCGGGATCGCGAACTTACCTACATATTTTGTCTTGTCACATTTGCCTG